GCTGGGTGTGGCGATTTTTGCCGCAGGCTTTGCACCAGTTTCGGCTGTGTTGCTGCCACTGCTGCTGCTGCCGTTACTGCTGCTGGCAGCGGCATTGTTGTTTATGATGTTGTTAATGAATATTTCATTAATGAGTATTTCGGCAGCCGAGGCATTGCTCAGCGCGGGTGCAGACACACTTGCGGCCGGCTCTGTGCCACTGCTGCTGGCAGCTACCACACTGATGCTGGCAGTGGGGCTACTGGGAGTGCTGATGGTGGTCACACTAGTGGCCATGCTGCCGCTACCACTGCTGCTGTTGTTGTTGTTGTTGTTGTTGAGTATGGCTGGCAACGACGACGGGGGAGTCAGCGGCGCACTGAAGCCCGAGACGAATGTGGCGTTGCTGAAGGGTGGTGGATTACCATTGGTGGTGCCTGAGGAGCTCGTGCCGCTGACGCTGCTGCCTGTTGCCGGTTTCTGTTCCGGTATGCTGAGCGTCAGCTTATCGCCTCCCTGTTCGGGTTTAGCGTTTATCGCGAGTGAAGCAAGCCCCAAAATGCGCGCGCACACACACACACACACAACACAACATAACACAATAAACATAAAGTGCGGACAACAAATGAAAATGAAAATAAAACATACAGAAAGCATGAAACGGGTGCAATGTGTGGATCAAACTGGTTCGTTGGCCACTCACCACTGATATGTAGGTGGCATTCAGGGAATCCGGTCCATCGCTGTGTGCATGATTGCTGTTGTTGCTGTGGCTGCTGCTGGTGCTTGTGTGCATACCGGAGTGCCCGGAGTGGGCAGCGGAGCTGGCGGCTGGCACAAACATCTGATTGGTCAGCTTGGCGTTGCCGCCGGCGCCCAGTTCCTCCTCAACGCGAGCTGCAATCGAAAGGAAAGCTGGTTAATCTCTGCTCAGAGTATCCCAGAATATAGGAGCAGGCTTACCCTTTAGGATATTGCACTTGATGTTGCCAGGCGGCAGGGACGTCGCGCCCACATTGGCCAGCTTCACTTGGTTGTTGGGCTTCTCGTTGGCGTTTGAGAGGCGCTTCAGTGTCTCCGTGTTGTGGTCCATGTCGAAGGTCTTGTTGATGGTCACCCTGCCAGAGATCGGGGAATAGAGGGATGCACTGGTCAATATCTATGCGAGACTCGATGTTCGAGGCTGTTTACGCTACCTGATACTGTTAGCATCGTTAATGGCTTCGTTTGCTAGCACTGATGGGGATGGATCTTTCACAATGGACTTAAGCAATGAGTCTAGCTCTCTGTCTTTATCCGACAAGCCGCTCTTAACACTGCACAATGACACACACACACACAGAAACAACGCCAGGACACAACATAAACGGGTGAGAGACAGGTGGCAAACGGAAACAGGCAGTATTAGTCAGGATGTTGAAGCGATATGCACATCGATCGATTAGCGAAACTGGATATCGGCTTACCTGAGCTGGCCGGAGCTAATGGAGGCCTTGCCAAAGCTGCCATGGTGCGAGGCCGCACTTCTGAACGGATTGGTCTCATCAAAGTTCTTGGTTGCATTCGGGGAATACGGCGGCGTGTACTCCGGCTCCAATCTGCAAGAAGCAAGACACAATTCAAGTACAATTTAAACAGGTTTCCGCCACTGGCATACTTCACAGTCAAGCCAGCCGCCTTGCCAATGGAGCCAATCTTGCTGTACGCCGGATCATCGTTGCTAAAGTTGGACTTTAGGGAGTTGCGACCCAGGGAGGCGCAGGCGGCCCCTGCCTGTGTGGAGGAACTGATGGAGGCACTGCAGGCAGCATCGGGTTCGATGATGGCGGAGTTCTGAATGACAGTGAGCACAGAGGGCGAGGGCGTGACAGTGATGAACTGATCCGTCGAAATCAGCGAATCGAAGACGTCGCTGTTGTTGTCGTTGCACGGAACGGGAGCGGTCACTGGAGTCTGGTGAGCCTGTGAGGCAGCCGCAGCAGCAGCGGCCGCTGCAGCAGCTCGAGCATTGACCGAGGCCACGGCTGAAGCGGCCGACTCCTGGGAGGCCTTTTGGCGCTCTCGCAGCAGATGCGACTGCCGACTGGCAAAGCGTTGGGAGGGCCTACGCTCGAACTGAACCGTGCGGCGGGCCCGGCTCTGCTGGGTGGTCTGGAACTCGGTGCGGCCGGAGTACCGAAAACGCGAGCCCATGCGGAAGAAGTTCTGTCGTGCCGAGGGGCCCTTTACAGGCGCCCGCAGCCGGAAGAAGGTGTGATGCTCCACGGCGCACTTCCACAGGTGCTTGCATGCCTTCTCGTTGTACAGGCGGAAGACGAACGTGTGCTCTTGCTCGCGACCATCGTCGTCGTCCTCGATGACGATAAGCGTAAGCTTCTTCTTCTTGAAGTCCAATTTGCTGATCTTTGGCCAGAAGAACAGGCCTATCTTCTGGTCCCGCTCGAACACAAGGATGCCTGTGGGCGTCAGTCCCAGGTGATACTCGCAGCCGTCTTTGCCCAGCACGGTGTGCATGTCCACGCCGTACATGTCCAGCCACTTGGCCTTGTTGAGGAACGCCGTCTCCGCCTGGGCAGGTGTCAGGCCGCGGCATGTCTTGTACTCCTCAAGAATGGATATTTCCAGATCCTCTGTCTGCTCCGGCACGAACCGGAACTCCGAGACGGTGGCTGCCGAGTGTTCCTGATCGTCGTAGTCGCCCAGCTCAGCTGTGGGTATAAAATCCATTAGTAAATGACCAATTTGAAATCAAGTGACCGGAAACACGTACATTGCAAGGCCAGGGCGCAGAGCTCTGTAGACTTGTCATCCGGGCAGTCGAGGCGCCCCTCCAGCAGGTCTTGCTTCAGTTGTAGAAAGAAAAGATAGCGCGTGAGCTCCTCGCGCAGCGTATTGGGCTCTGAAGAGTAGAACTTCACCTTCAGGCGGAATGTGTATGGTGGTCCAACTGTGAAGAGTTTGTATTGCATTGGTAAGAGAGATAAAACATGTGTCCAGTATGTACTCACTTTTGACCTGCTTCTTGATGGGTTTGGTAGGGTCCAGCCAGTGCTTGACGTGATTGGCGTCCATGAACTGCAGACCAAAATAGTCCTTCTCAATGATGTCTAGCGCATAGAAGACCTGTTCGTAGAGGAAGCTGCCCAACGCTTTTTTCTGCAATTCAAGTGCAAAGTCGCGAAAATTAGTACCCTCGCACTGCCGGGCGTCTGTAAATCAAGCTGGCCCTGAACTAATCACGTTCGCTTAGCGGGTTCAACAATGCGAAGATCAGCCAGTAGCCAGAGGTGGTTCGTTTATCGTTTATCACGCACGGTCAGCCAGCCAACCATCGCAGTATCTGTGTGCTGTGTGCGACAGTCCCACACACCAGCAATTAACCTTTGAGGGGGTTTTTGCTTGACTTGACTCCCAGCTCCATAATTCATGTCATATTATAAAAACTTTCAGTTGCCATAGTCCCAGTGTCGTTGCTGGCTCTGTTACTTAACCCAACAAGCGCACAATCGGACAAACAACAGAATGAATGTAATTCAATACTTACCGATAATTCGATGGAAAGGTCAGTATTGTCCAGCAGTATGACGCGGCAGTCTATTTTGTTCTTGTTCACGACGATGCGCTGCGGCTTAATCTGGGAGCCGCTGGCCACAACGGCACCGCCACCGCCCATGCCACCGCCACCGCGGGGGCTGCTGGCATTATCCGCGTAGTTGTTGCGCACCTTGCGACGGCTTAGAAAACGCAACATTTTCGTTATATCTATTTGCTTTTCTCGGTGCTACGGCCGCTACTTGATGTTGCTGTTGTTGTTGTCGATGGAGGGTCGGGTTGGGTCGTCGTCGTCGCCTATTGTTGGATGCGACTATGGCCGGGGCTGTGGCTGCGACTCTGCGGCTCTGTTGCCAAGGCAGCGTATTGCACCGATAATTCACCTGTGTGCTCACCTCTTGGTCGTCGTCTGGGAAACAGCGCAGACATAAAGACCCAGCACGCACACTGCCACACCGAGCACCACTAATACCAGTGCACACTCGCGAGCGCTGCAACTTGTTCTTGTCCATACACACTCCACACACTCCACACATGCACACACACATATAAACGGGCACGCGACGCCCCCGTTTACTTGGCCACCGCCAGCGAATCGGGTTGAGGACTGGGCGCTCCTGTGGCCGCAGCGGCAACTATGCCTGTCTCCCCAAATCACAGTTAGTTGCTGCGGCCCGACAGCCACTACGTCCACTTTTGCAGAAAAAACTAGCCCCAAACACGTTCGCGTTCCCGTTCGCACAGCCGAGAGACGCGTGAATTCTGGAATGTAAATAAATGCACTGTTCTCAAGTTTTTCACTTTATTAGGATTATCCAACCTCGTTCGTTGTGGGTTTTCAGATTAATTCTATTTTATTGTTTTTTTGTTAATTATTCTTGTTTTGGACGATAAAATACACCGTCCGACCCTCAGAAATATACCGAAATATACCAAAAAAGTATGATATATACCGATATACAATAAATCATGACTGAGTGATCGAACTTAACCCACTTAACACCCGTATATTTAATCAGGTGACCAACTAGAGTAAAACCACCTCATGATAACAATGTTTGTAAGTTTTTCTTGAAGATCCACACTTTTACCTTACTTGCAAAACAAAAATGACCACCGACATTTTTCACCTGTAATGCGTAAAATATGTTAAGGTTACATAAATTTCGTGGAAATATTAATACCCCCTGGTCAACAATGGGATAACGTTCTCTTTTATGGATTGAAATCGTATTCCATGATTTTGATATTCAGTTTAATATTACTAGCTGGTTGGTACTTTCAGCCCTAAATAAATAATTTTATTGAATAGACAAATCAATTTTCTACAAGACTGCCTAGCTTTCAAAAGTCCTTTTTATTGCGTTGTTTCCATAAAAAGGTTCAAACAAAAAAGGCCAAAGCATAAAACGTAAATGTTGACTAAATGTGACGTCATTGTTGCTGGTCAACCTAGTATCTGTTATGCGTATTGACTTTTGTATACCTTATCTCCTTTAATTAATGTTTAATTTGTTGTTCCAAGCTGCTTAGAAACATTAATATTGCATTTTTTCTTAGATTGAGATGTTTTTTACCTATTAATGCATATGTTTTGTATTTTATATATACTAACATATATCCCTGTTGTGATACCTATTATTGGTACCCGTGACATGCAAATTTCGTTAATATCTTTAAAACACAGACTGAGTAGTTTCTTCATTAATTGGAGCCTGATATTACAACCAATATCTCTATTCTATAATCTATAATCTATAAAATAACATAACCCGATATAACCATAAAATAACAGTTCGAATTCGAAGTCGAAACGCGAAATCAAAAAAAAATTCCTTAAACAGGAAGAAGAAGAAAAACAACCAAAGTTGCACAACAATGCTGAGCAACATTCTCATGTTGCTAAAAGAGAGCAAATTTTGAAAAAACCACCACGAATTGAGAGCGAAAAATGTCAGTATTTTTCGTGCGCTAAATGAAGTTTGGCGGTCAATTTGAAAAGCACTTTAATATACCAAATTCTACATTGATGCCACTTGATCTCTTTCTGGCTATCTGGCATCCCTAAACATGTGAATAATACGAAAAATACCAGATACCAGATCAATGTGGCGCCAGTTCAAATTCAAGTTTATTGAAAGCAATAAAACAAAACAAAAATGTTGTGGAAAAACGATTCTTACCAACACAAGCGAAAATTATTTTAAAAATTTTCTAAATGCAAGAGCTGGGAAATTTTTTTTTCCAATTTCTTTGTTGGACCAACAGTACTACAACTTGTTGCCCTTTTGGGTTTCGTTACAAATTTTTTTTAGGTATTTCATCTCTTTCTCTCTCTTGGAAGGAAACTACAAAACAGAAAAGAACCCACGATAACTGTAAAATAGGAAACACACGAGGGTTTGTAGTGGCAGCCGGCATTTGTAAAATCCTTTTTATGGCCCATTTATTCCTTTATTTGTTAGTGGATTTAAGGCTGTAACTGTAACCGACATCCCGCTCTTGGTCCCGCCCTCGGTCCCCGTTTCCCTGCCAGGCTGGGCAGACGAAAAGCGCCCCATTGGTGGTCGTATTTCGAGTTTAAAGGTAAATGGGAGATTTATCGCCGACGATTTCCTCTGCTCAGTTCAGTTCTGTTCTCTTCTGTTCTGTGTGTATGTGTGTGTGAGTGTCTTAGCTGGGGGGCCGTGTTTATATCGGGGTTTTAGTGGGCCCTTGAGATGTTTGGCCGGGGCCGAGGGTCTTACAACATTCGCTAAAAGTTGGGGGCCATTCAGGCCCCAATCGCATGATTCATTTTCGCTTATTGGCCATTAATTTTCACTCGATTCTGATTGAGCCCGATACTCGTATGCATTTACATTTTTATGGAATGCATTAGACAGGGATACCGGGCTATAATTACACAGATGCCCGTTATAACAAGGCGCATGATTAATTACTAGCTAATACTGAAACCCGATCTGAGGCAGCGCAGCGAAAGAGACAGAGCCAGAATCAGACCAGGGGCCTGACCCGACCAGACCAGACCAGACAAGACCAAAGCAGCCACAGCAGTACGAGCATCCGTGGCAGCATCGCATTCATCTATAATAACAAGACAGGCGACGATGCAGCACAGTCTTAGAGGCAGCTGGGGCAACTTGAGCAGCAGCAGCACCTAAACCAGCAGCAACAACAGCAGCAGGCTGCTCCATAATTATGACAGGCGCCGCCGCAGGGGGTGAGGCAACAATTAACAAATGGCTTCGTTGCCATTGCCATTGACCAAAATAGACATGTTGGGCAAAGGGTTAGAGCCAGCCAGCCAGACAAACAATTGGCGTGCGTGTATCCTAGAGATGGGTGCTGGCCTCGGGCTCTCAATTTGGATACGAATCAAAATGCAGGATTTTCAACGTACAAGCGGGGGATTCATACATTCATTGTGTCAGTTAGCTATATGATCAATCCCATGGGAATTGCTTCCGAAATGATTTGCTTGAGTAGTCCCCCAAATAAACGATGTATTGTCAAACTTACTTTGAATGGAACAACGATATTATATCCGACAGCCTACCTAACCTAAAAGCCTCCCTAAAAGCCTATTCCACAGAGATATATTTATTGCTCAAAGAGTAGAAATATTTTCATAGAACTTCAAGAGTATTTGTGTAAACTTCTTGCTGGTTAGAAGGAATGCCACGATATGTAGTTCAAGCCCATCTCTAATGTACATATATGCAATGTACATTGTATGTATGCAGACATAGTACGATATATGTATATATAGATGTATTTGCATTGTCTTAACGATAATGGCAAGTCGTGGTCATGTAATACGAGGAGCAGGGCACATATTTGCCTGTGTGTGTGTATTTGGGTGCGTGAGTGGTTGTGAGGATATTTGGTGGGGTGGTAGGGTGGCACGGTGGCACAAAGGTAAACTATTATATTTATACGGATGGATGGCGACTCCACTGTCTGCGCACTTATCTGCAGTTGAGTGGGAAATAAATTCCTTTTAATTAAAACCGCAGCAGAGCTCGTGATTTAAATTGCTCACGGCTCAGGCGGCAGGCGAGTGCAAATTTATTGGCGTCCATCCATAAATCAGTGGCATCGGCGACGCTCCTGTCCCAGTTCGAGCTGTGCCCGTAGTTCGACCCAGCCGAAAGGTGAATTCATTTTAATTAAATAGAAAAATGTTTTGTTGCTTACTTATTTGATGGCCGCGAAGCAAACAAACTGTGGAAAAAGCCAAAGCCCGAGTCGGAGATGGAGCCAGGGCCAGAGCCGTTGTGGGACAGGGGCGCAGGAGGAGCAGGACCGGCAATCGAAGGAGTGAAATTCATAGTAAGGAATTCGAAGTTTTTCAGTAATTGGCTACTTAAGTTGCTTCGATTGGGGACCAAGAAGCAGCAGCAGTGGCAGGACGGGCTGGAGTGGCAGGCAGCGGTGCCAGGATGAGTACAATAAAAAACATCCTCGTGTTGTAAAATTTTATGTGTGATTGTGTGTCGCTTTACGATATCCTGGCAGCCAGCCTCTGACGCCCCAGTCGCCGCGCCACTCTTTCCCGCCGTCTGCTCTCCACTCGCTATGCCCATCGAGGGCTCGTTACTGCCCGGACGGTCGGACGGACAGGGCGGACAGGGCGGACGCACGGACGGCAGACAGATATGGCCAGAGCAGCAAATGGGGGCCAACGGGGCGTGGCAGATGCGACTGCCGTCGCCTGATGGCGGGGCAGTGAGGCCACTGCCACTGCCACTGGCACTGGGGGGGCCACACACAACATTTGTTGTCTCAGCGAATTCCCGGGCAAACGATGCGATTGCCGTTACCTGCTCCACCTACGCCCTGGGGGAATATTTCACGGCTATTTGGCAAGTCAACAGCTTGTTTTATTTTCGGCATGTAATTTTCGTTGAGTATTTTTATGACGGCAGGCGACAAAAGCCAAAGCCAGCGCCAGCGCCAAAATCAATTGGAAATCAATGTTGCGATAGTTTTGCCCGCCCACAGGGAGCAGAAGGATAGCAATTAGGATGTCATTACGCTGCTGGAGCAGGGAGCAGTGAGAAATGCGAGCGAAACATTTCAAATTACGCGCCATTTATTTTATTTTATATTCAATTTAAAAAGTGTCAGCTTCTCCTTCTCCTGTCTCCTGTTTTTGGTTAGCTTCGGGGCCATTCAACACAAACCATATGAAACGCATAAAAAAAAGTTATTTATGCCCCCGGCGGTCGCCTTTGTTGCAGCGCGTTGTCCAGCGGGGTCCTTTGCCGGCCAAGCTCCTTCCCGCCACATCCCGCTGGCAGCCGCCATTGGCAGAGGCCAAAAGCTAGAGGCCTTTTTGTTTTTTTTTTTTTTGTAACTCTTTCGCCTTGGCGGCTGGTCAGGTCGAAAAGTTTCGCAGCATTGCAACAATTAAAAGTGGCACAAGGGTCATTCAAACAATTGGCCATTGTTGTTGTTCGGTGGGACAGGGAGCTAGCTGATGGTGGAGCTGCTGGGGGAACTTAATTTATGCCACTAATTACT